GGTTGGGTCTCATCAGCAGCACTGTGAATCCCCATCGAACCAACTGGGGCTCGCAAACCCGGGACCTCATAGACAGAATGCAAGCGAGGTGTCATGCAATATCTCATTCATCACGAACGAATGAAAGGACAATAAAAATTGGTTTCAAATCAATAAATAACTTTTGTGAATAGCTATTAACATTGACCACATCTATTTTCATCATCTAACTGAAACCACGGTCAAACGACAAGCCATGGGCATTGTTTGGTTACAATAAATCACTTCTGAAATGGAATTTATTCGAAAGGAATGCCCCAGAAGTACTGAAATCACTGTACTCACATACCTCTTACGGTCGAGTGAGAGTGTCTACCAGTAGCGGCGTTCGCCGTTCCTGTTCAATTTGGTCTACTTCCGCTTTCAAACTAAATGGCCAGGAATCAGGTATGGTGGATTACTTTTCGTACTTAGGTAGTTGTGTAACTAACGATGGTAGTGTAATACAGGAGATAACCAGGCTTGAGCAGCGTAGACAAGACTGAAACAACTTGGGCGTAGACGTGACGTTTCCCTGGAGTTGAAAGGTCGTGTGTATTGTGCTAGCGTTTGTTCAGTCTTGCTTTACGGTTGTGAAACCGTGAATTTACGAGTAGAAGATATCCATCGACTAGAGATTCTCGACTATCGGTGTTTACGTAGTATAGCCCAATTGCGATGGAGATGAGCTGTCGTATGCCTGGAATTTCGTCGAGGATAAACTTGTTAGCTCGTAAAATTCAGATGAGTAGGCTTCGCTGGTTGCGGCTTGTGTTGGGTATGCCCAACTGTCGCACCGCGCACAAATCGCTTTGGCCGCTTCGGGCTGGGGGAAATTCTATGAAGATCAATAGATGAAATGAAGACGAAGTACGAAAAAATGCACAAAGCCAGGTTGGGGTCCGAAAGATTTCACAACTGGTTGTTTGAAAACACTGACGGATATAGCAGCGAACCCACAGCAGTGGTGTTATCATTTCTTATCAGGTCTGAATGCTTGAAATAGTGTGTATACACAGTTGGACTTTCGGTGTTGACCATAGAGGTTCACCTTATCCCTCTCTCAAAATGGGTCTAATCCCTCTCCACCTTACATATTAGCACTAACTTTGTATGCATTACGCATTGCGCAGCGATCAGTGAACT